GTAGTGGAATATATTTGTATATTACTTTACTGTATTTCAGACGTGGACGAATGTGCCCTTGGTGTGTGCCACCAGAGCTGTACAAATTCTGAAGGTTCCTATTCCTGCTCCTGTTATCAAGGCTATGTACTCTATACTAAAAATGGCACCAATGGTTTCTTTATACCAGCTGGTGAAGATGGGCTGAAACCTGGCGATGTTTTCCAGATTAACAACACTTGTGTCCGTAAGTGAGCATTACACAGTTTTACTGAAATCGCTACCTGATATACAAAATAAATATTGCACAATTTGTCCTGTATACATGGAAGTAATTTTTTTTCACAATAAAAACTCTATAATGTTGAAAGGACTATTGTCAACAATCATTTGCATTCATTAGTGTATATTCTATCTTTGATTAATTAGTGTTTGATTTCTGCACATAAAAATATGGTAAGCAAAACATAGATTTTGATTGTTCTAAATATCGGTTCCTTTACATCAGAGTGAAAATAACTAATTATTTTCGCAGATATGTCTGTGTTTTAATTATACTAGGCTGTAAGCAAACTGCTTGCTCTGTCCAAAAAAAAAAAAAAAAAGATTGTAGTATAATTTGTACTACTATATATCAAATCTTTGATGTCAGGAACTTACACAACTTTCGACTCATAAAGTACACAAAATAGTGGAGAGTAGAAAATCAATAGCAAGAATAACATAATTTGTAATCTGTTCAAGTCATTAATGGTCGTGACAGCAAATAAGCTGCTGAGGTTGGGTCATATAAAGGAAATGGCAGATAACAGACAGACAAAAATTGTGTAGACAGAAAAAAGCAAACAAGGAGTAGACCACAAAGGAGAACAAGAAGATATTGTAATGGTAATATTCAGACAGACCGACAAACACTTGGAGTTACTAGCAGAAGTGATAAGGCTTCTCACAGCAATGAACAGATGTGGGGATTTCTGAAGCAGTCAACCTCAGTAGCTTGGAAGACAGAAAAAAGAAATAGTAGAAGAAGAAGAAGAGGAATAAGAAGCAGAAGTTTTATTTATTTGTATACTGTTATATATTGTTTTTAACTGGCCGGTTCTGCACCAAGTGGTGATGAACTGATTGTATGACAAGCTAGATGTTGTGATGGCCCTACGGGAGCAAGTGAACAGTGAGGAAGCGCAAATAGATCATTACGGTCTGAGGAGAATGGTGTTGCGAGGAGTTGCCAGGGGATCAGGCAGATGCTCAACACTCAAGGAAAGGCGAGACGGATATAGTCAGACAGTTACTGGTGCTATTGGAAGGAGCGCTTATGTGGTTGTCCCGAGTGCTATTTTGTCGATTCTAAATTCATCATTCAACATTCAATTTTTATATTGTTTTTATTGTCATCATGTGTCTAGTCTTATTTTTTATAATTTACTACTCTATTTTGTACTCGCAGATATAAAATCATTTTGTTTTAAATTTTTGATATTTTTTGTTTTTGACAGCTATTACATGCAAGCAACTACCTGTACCACCAGCAAATGGAACACTCTTGACGACCAGATCAAACTTTTATTATAATGACCAGATCAACATCATTTGCAATTTTGGTTATGCGTTAGAAAATCCGTCAGTGGCTACATGTCAGAGTGATGGAAACTGGAGTTACAATACTAATCCCAAATGTAAAAGTAAGCATTTAAACTGTGCTGTATATATTTTCTCTACAAGGAACAGACTACAAAATGTCCATCTAAAGTCGATTCTACAAATATTTATCTGTAACAGACATACCGTTACGAGATAAACAATATTTAGAGGAGCTTAAACCTATTTTAGCTACTCAGTCGAGAGACAGCAGACCATGTTGGAGTGAGAGACTTAAGCTTGGTGAGATAAAATCAAGTGAAATATAGTCGATCTTCTGAACTGTAAACCTTATAACATCTTTTCCCTAAACTTTTCAGTGACACACTACATGTCAAATGTACCATAAAAGTATAACAAAATTCATGAAACAATAATATTTAAACAGCTTATATAGTTACTATAAACTTTCTTCTTTAAGACATCAAGAATAATTATTTTACACGAATGCATGCAGTGAACTAGATCTGCAGTGTTTAATGAATACAGAACCCCTTTATAGCTACTCTTAAACTGTAAGAAAACATAAATTATGGTCTCCACTAAGAAGAAAAAGTACTATAAAGTGAGAATTACACATGAATGGCAACATTCATAAGCTAGTGAATTCACACAACTATCCTCATAAATTAAATCTGCTCGGCTGTCTTCAAGCGGAAGGTGGTGTTTAAACATGATAGTTAGGTATCTGAACCAGTAACCATATACCCCCAGTTTGCCTCAAGGTTCTCCTTTTTCCCAGACAGTTTTCAACATTTTCACCATGCTCATCATACGCAAGCATAGCATGGGACCTGGGAGGACACTGTCATTTGCTGATGACGTTTTGGTGAAAACCGCCAATGCAGAGACTGGGAGCAGGTTGCTGAGGACCTTCAGACAGAACTTGGTTTCATAAGTAGGTGGTGCGATGAAGCGGGAACGATAGTCAGTGTGTCAAAGTCGATATTATAAACACTGTGTGCGTTGATCGTAACTTGCTTTTTAGGAGCATATCAACCACATGATAATTAAGGCAAATGGAGGTTTGCCAGCCCTAAGGATTATGGCTTCAACACCAGGGTCTGTTTATTTTTGTAATTGAGTACGCTATGGCGATTCTGCCTCTTAGCCGTACACAGACAGAGAGACTAGATCGGATACAGAATAAGGCCTTGTAAATCATTCTTGAATGCCAAAACAATACAGCATGCATAGCGATGTGTTACCTCCTTGATCTTCCAACCACGAAAGTGAGAACAATGATCTGGCAAGTACGTGCGTGCGCACATGCATGTCAGTGCTGATACACACCCTCCTTTGCACAGTGAAATTCATGGTAAGAAGGGTAGCGGGTTAGAAATAGTAAAAATCTTGTTAGGTCTGGCAGGGGCAATTATTCAACAAGTATTTTTCAAATAAGGCTATTAACCTGGTGAGGAATGGGTACGAGTACATCCTTTTCAGTCTGCATAAAACTGGATTGAGAATAAAGGTTAAAGTTATAAGGTTAAAGTCTAAAGGATCCACTTTATTTCACCGGGTTTTATCCTATTTGGCTTGGTCTCTCTCTGCAGAATGGCTAGCCGCCTGCTGAGAGCGCCGGGCTGAGCACAAACTCCTTAGCTCAGACGACGATCTCCAGGGATCTCCGTATAAATTGCACTCATGAACTGAAGGGGGTAGTCATGGAACGAACCCGTGACCTTCAGAAAATGAGGCAAAGGACTTGACAACTTCGCAACAGAGACCCCTGGAGACAACAAGGTGGTTGAAATGGTTTGTGGTTGATGCAGAAGTTCAAGCCCTAATTCTTTACAATTCTGCGGACGGAGATGTAGTTATCTACACTGACGTATCCGCCACTTGACACGTACAAAGTTCATGGGCTTACACGGTTCAGGTTTGAGGAAAAACTAAAAGAAGAAAGAGGAGCTTTCGCCTTGACTACAAGTAATCTGACTATGAAGGTGGCAAAAGCAGTGTTGTGGCTAAAGAACAGCATTTTACTCATACATGCTTTCTAAATGATTCCATGAGCATGCTATGCTTTAAGAATATAAAGATGGAATGAATTCGAAGAAAATTGTTGGAGTCGCTAAGGAAATTTAGTTTGATAGGAATTAGTCTCATTTTTGTGCCAGCACACTGACTGACTGACTTTCTATCCCACCAGGACATCACACAAGCGATAAACACCCGATGACACAAAGTGCCACCATGTGGATGAGGATTGCCGCGGAGAGGTCCCAGAAACCGCGTTTAGACAATTGGCCATTTTTATGGCCTGTCTATATTGCGGCCCCTGGCAAAAGCCAGGGTGGGGCTTCAAATAACAAAAAATTTCGTCCTAAAAGGGATGAAAAGGGATTAGCATTCTGTGTAATAATAAAGGACATCTGCCAGTACACTCTGGTGTAAGGGGGAATTACCAAGTGAACTGGTTTGATGATAGGCCCACGGTAAGAAAAGAAAAGTAAGGAACCGGTCCGATATTCTCAGTGCTCTCAAGGAGGCAGGAGGAGAAGATGTTTCAGGAGACAATGCTGAATCGGTAACACTCAAAAGACTACATGCACTTCTTGTCAAAAGAGGTGAAATCAAACATGAACTCTATAATGGCAGCCAAAGAAGGACAGTAAGCCAACATAGAACTGGTGTTATCAGTTGCCACTTACTAAGGGATAGACTGAAGATGGGATCCAAATGATTATGGGGTCATCTGATGTGCAGCGAGAATAATCTGTTGTTTAACTAACTAACTATCTTGGAATAGTCATAACATCTGAGGTATGATGACTTGCAACAATTGTAACAAAAGTAGTCATTGCAAAAGTGGCTTTTGGCAAAATGCAAAAGATACTCCCCAATAAGATGTCAATTGAGTCAGACATTGACAATAAGCAGACAATCAGAAGAAGATGTTTTCACTATGTAAAAATCTGTGTAGCTGTCCGGTATCATTGCTCCCTATAAATATGAAACTTTTGACATTAGATTTATTCTTTATAAACAAACAGCATACATAGAGAGTTTCAGTTTGTCAATATCTGATGAGTAAATCAACCACTCTTTTCTATTGTATCATACTACTTGTTGGAGACTTCCGGCAGTATGGAAAATAAGCAGGTTTACTATTTTAGCCATGACAAGTCTTCGCTTTTGGCGATAGCTGGCTGTTGTACTTTCCTCCATATATAGACTGAAAGGACATTTTTACATTGCCTAGCTACTGAGTTGAATGCATGGCGTGACACTATGAGCTGCAGATTTCATTTATAATGCTTTGTATATGTGCCTAAGGTTTTTGAGTTGTGGATTGCAGATTCAGAAAATGATGAACAGTGTGTTGTCACAGAAGTGTTGATGCCCTGTATGATTTATCGTGTGTGCAGCTACTGAGCTCTAGAAACTGCTGCTTTCATCAATGACAAACTGCATTTCTAGTTTAGGACTGTTTGTTTTGGCACTTTTGACAGCTGCCTTTTGCATTTAATGTTTGTTTACACTATTGGATTAGCTGAGACTGCAGTATATACATATTTCCACAAAGGGCATGTTTTTCGTTGGCACAGGAACGGAGCATCTGTAGGGTGGCTCATTTACTGACAAGTTGTAACTGTCTTCACCTGATTAAATGATACTGCTTTGCTTGGTACGAGGGAAAAGATGAACAGGCAGGCTAAGTAAAAAACAGAAATGGCAACAGCTGGGCAGTCAACTTAGTAGCCCAAGGTCACAAAACTCAAAACTCTGGGACTGTAGATTCTACTATGTAATCAGGGTCTCTACTAAACAAAATGAAAACATTTGTTGCTTTTCCTTTACAGCAGCATTTTTAGCTGTTTGATTTTGCTAAGCAATTGTGTGTTCAGTAGTTTGCCATTGCTCTCTAAATGGTCAGTTGTTGATACAGTTGTAGAAATCAATGCAAAGCGATCTGCTGTCAAATCGCCCACAGTCAAAATGGAACCGATTATCTTTAAATTACAAAGTGTTCACATGCCTAAGCCACAGGTGCTGACACTCTAATTCAGACCATTTGTTACTGAATATGTAATCAAGTTTATTGTACTTGTTGTTATCACATACATAACTGTCTATGTTATTTACCTAAGTTATTTACGTAATCACTTGCATGCCATTAGAAATGACCTGCCCTCAACCTCCAGTACTAAAGCATGAAGCTTCCAGGGTTCCAGCTAAGGGAGATATAGAGCCGGGAGCTTCTCTAACAGTCACATGTAACTTAAATGATGGAAGTGTGACTAGAAAGACAGTTTTCTGTGCACCAAGTCCTCATGTCTCTGGACAGTTTTCCCTTCAAGGAGATGACCTAAAATGTCCAGGTATAAAATGTTGATGTGGTCTTGATTAGAAGGAACTAAACAACACAAAACAGATTTCTGCAAGTAAAATTATTTTTATGTTTCTTTACCCATCTTCTTACTACAGCACCTTGACTACTTTTAAAGTTTTCTTGTTTTGTTTTTAATCTTTTTTTTTTTTTTTACTGACGCAATGACTCTTAATTAGTTAAAAAGAAATAAGAAGAGCAACATATGCGATGGTCTGGTATCTGGCAAGAATTGTCTGCTACCAAATGACATACAGCTTCGATGAAGAAATGTAATGAAAACAGCAAGAGGACAATTGTGTAGAACATGGACTGATAGCACCAAGACCAGCCTAAAGGAAAAGAAGACCATCTTATGTAATACACTGGAAGGAGCACACAGAAGAGTCTTGCAATGAAGTAACTGGAGGAAGATAAGAAGAAGTGACACTGGGTAATAATAATTTTAAGTCATCTAATATGTGTTAAAATCCCCTCTTGATACAGAGATTTTAATCCTCTCACCACGGGAAAGCCAGTTTTCAGGCCTCTATAGATTTTTGATGTTTTTAGGCAACAGTCAAAATACCTCTATAACAGCTTTAGTATTTTTGCCACTACATAATGTGTTAGTGTGTAGAAGTGGTAGGTATGAGTATCTACTTTTTTTAAAAAATGTTTAAAACACAAAATGCTCTTTTTCTGTAATTTTGGTGTGATAAAAAACAT